ATTTTATCATCATAAATAAAGTAGTAATATTGCTGAAATTACGGTTTCACTGTTCTTATTTTTCATTTGCAATTTCTTATTTTATATACTGGAAGGCCCTACATACTACATCAAAATAAACATCAACTGGGAATATGCACTTTGGATGACTGGTGTGCTAACTGCAACAGTGGCCATGGGATATTGAGGAGGTTACTCGATAAGGCTTCTGTTCCTTGCACAAAGTAACAGGCCTTTGAGAACTGCACTAATACATTCCATAATAAAGGAAATATAATATATATAAAAAATACACTACCCTAAAACAAGAGCCTTCAACATTATTTTGAAAGAGAAGGGTAAAAGGAACAGTTGTACAGGGGTAACAATAGGGCTCAGTTTCGGAACCAATACTTCTTTAACATACTCTATACTTAACACACAATTAGTCATAAATTATAAGTTATATAATTATTAATTAATCATAGCATTTTACTGGACAGAATTTCAAATTACTTTTTAATTAGCTTAGTCACATAAACCACCCCAATCATTCAATTTCTTAAATGTTTCATATTTCTATATTCTATACAAGATTCACTATCAAAATATTAAGTATTTTCAAACACTCAAAACACAATTTCATATAATTTTTTACACATATATTAAAAATTTTTTGATTTATTTTTATATTTTACCTTATTTTCAAAATAATTCCAAAATTTTTAACATAAATTCAAAAATATAATTATTTGCTATATTAAAACTTAATAACCTTCTGTAAAAATAAAAAAATCCTTGAAATTCATTGCTTAGTTTTATTAAACATAACTGTTAAAAATGAAACCTTTTGATACAACAAAATTTTAATCATTTTCATAAAAACAGTGCCAAATGTTTAAAATTCAATATAATAAGAAAACATCATTACAGATTTAAAATTTTAAAAGTAGCATTAAATATTAGCAATTTTCTATATGAAGATAGTACATTTCTAGCTGCACTAATTAGAATGTTTATTCACAAAACACTTAAAATTTTAAAATTCCTTGCAGTATCTCAGTTTTGTTTCACTGAGGTGACTGCAATTTAACACATTATGATTGAAAGAAGAAAACTATGCAGTTCTCTGTTACGGATAAGCATCATAATGTTGAGTATTTTTATTCATGCACATAAACACTTATGATGAAGAGAGAAGTGAAAATAAATTTGTTGCACAGAAATTTGGAGCACATTCTTTAAGCAGAAATTAACGACCTTCAAAAGCAGTGGGGATATGTAGTCGGGATGATTTGAAACATCTGTACCCTCTATCCTTGAAAGCATTCATTACATTACTTTAAACACTATGCTGGATTAATTTTGCAAGCACTGTAGATGATAGCAATTTTTTCACTTCTTGATACTGAATAGATCAAGAGCAATATTTCATATGGGTATAGAATAAAATAAAATTAGTAGTCATATTAAATCTTCAATCTTTGTTAACACACTCTATAATGCCACAGATGAATTTTCCACACACGTCTGACATTTTAACAGACTGGAATTAATACTGTAGACTTTTGAGATGTTGATCCATAATTAATACCGTAGACTTTTGAGATGTTGATCCATAATAAATATAAATTTAGGCTGATCCATAATAAACAGCAAACTTGGCAGCCGAGGCAGATTGAATATTCATTTATAATTCAAATGACATTTGTGGCCACAGTTACTTGGCACTCTAATCGGTACTTATATATTAATGCAACCACTTTAGTAAAAGTTGCCAAATTTTCAGAATGTGCCGAACTATGCCAACCTTGCACATAACCATTCTTCTAGCAACCATGCTCATGACAATCCTTCAGTCAAGCAATGCCACTATATTTGTATGCATTCTTTTTTCTGCTGTATTCCAAGTTCCAAAAGGTTTTTATAAACAATTGGTCATATTTTTTGCCTTAAACTTAAGTTTCAAAATACAAGCTTGTGGAATTTTCCAGTAATGGAAGAAACTGCAGTAAAATTTCTGTAGGAATATAGAAATTTGCTCAACATTTTCTACAGAGAACGTCAAGGAAATGCATTTTCTCAATAGGCACTGTTTCTGATGATTACACAAAGCTGAGTCCTTACAATCCTTTGATTTTGTTTAAGCAAAAACAGATCACTGTGTACTTTGGGAGAATATCACAAAAAATTATAGAAAGATTTGAAGAATTTTAAGAGATTTATTTTTTAATTTATCACATAATTTTTATTTTAATAATTCAAATTTTTTTGAATAGTTAAAATATGCTTTCTTTTCATGTGTTGATAATGTTTTACTGACCTATGATAAATATCCATAGTTTGGAAATCTTTCTAAAAAAAAGGTGCTAAAACCAGCAATTTGCACCCAATAAGTAACTTTTACCTTTTCTTGTGGGGAAAAAAATCGGCCCAACTGTGTCAAGTGGTGTCATTAATATGTAAGTACCATCTAATCATGCCTATTTCAAAACATTTAAATTCTTGATAGTATTACAGAAGGAAGAAAATAGAGCAGCAGGAGCAGCAGGATCCCAGCAGCAATAGAAACAGAAGCAAAGTGCCATGTGTTCATGATGAAATCTTAAATTCAGAATGGTTAGTTTTGGTTTCAATGCATTTGACTGGATAATTAATAATGATATAAAATTATTATTGGGCATTTGAGTTTTAGTTCCATATACATCACCAGTAAAACTCATATGAAAATGGAATATAGTTTCAAAATGATGCAATCCAGAAAAAATTATCACAGTTTACAGAATAGAGAAGGGAAATACCCAAATAAAAATGAGGATTCAATGTGCTGTTGCTAATTATAATTTCGATTTACATATTTTTATCTTACACACACACACATACATATATTAATAATCTATTACATATGTAATAGATTTGGAGAGGTAGATGGTTGTAATGCATTGTATATAGTTTATTGCATATATGTATCATAGAAAGGCTTTACTGAGTAGACAGAAGAATGATGTAAACAGACATAGATATATATTTAACATAATTTTATAACTGGATTATACAATTCTGTAGAAGCAATATCTGACTCACATATCATAATGGATGCAATATGCACCCCATATTGTTTGAAAACTTACATATCCAGATAATGGATGATACAGAAAAATGAGCAGCAATAGGTGTTAAGCAGAGCAACGTGAAAGGAGAAAGGGCTATGCATTCAGAAGAAGTGTGCAGGATAGAGTCAGAAAGTTTCAATTTCAAATGAAACCTTTAATCTAATAAGAGGTGTCTACATTGCTATGTTACGTGAGATAGCATCACGTGGATTAATTTTGAAATGATGCAGTTTAAATTGATATGCCATAAATAGTAACTATTTTAGGACAGACAGGGAAAACAATCAATATAAAATGAAGAATAAAAGGACTATTACCAAATTAAAATTTTGCTGTCAAATTGTTAATCTTACATAAATACACTGAAGAGCCAAAACATTAAGACTCAATAATGTGTCCTGCGGCCTTTGCCCTGCAAAAATGATGCAACTTGCCTTGCCATAGATGCCACTAGTTCTTGGCAAATGACTGGAGACAGGTTGTATCAAATGTCTAAGTAGCATTTATGCAAACTCAAGATATTCCAACATGGTGGTGTTTGAGCTCTGAGCTACCCCTCCCTTCCCAAATGTGTTATATTGGGTTAAGATCCTGTGAGCTAGGTGGCCAGGACTTTAATTCAAATTCATCCTTATGTTCCTCAAACCAGTACAATGCAATTCAAGCCTTTTGGCATGGGGCATTGTCCTGCTGGAACATTCCATTTCCAGTCTGGAAGACAGATGCCATGTAAGGGTGCAACTAATCTACAATTAAGTTCAGGTAGTCGACAGCTTTCTTGGTCTGTTCTGACAACTAAGGATGCCAGAGCCACCCATGAGAACATCCCCCAAAGCATAATACTGCCACCAAAAACCTGTATATGACTTGCTGCAGAGGGGAAGAACAACTGCTTGTATGAAAGACTGTGTACCCTGACATGACCATCGATGTGACGAATGAGAAATCATGATTCATCTGACCAGGCAATTGTCTTCCACTTATCATAGTTCAGTTTTAATGTTCCTGAGCCCTCTGTAGGTGCCACTGACAATGATGCACATGAGTGAGTGTCTGCTGTACAATCCCATATCTAACAGCGTCCAATGAACTGTGTGTTCCGAAACATTTGCACTTGGACCTGCATTGTACTGGGCTGTTAGCTGAGCCACTCTCTGGTGCCGATTTTGCTGTACCAAGCAGGACAGTCTTCAAAGTCTTTTTTTTCTTAGATTACATGTGGACATCCAACATCTTAGCATCTACTGTTGGTTTCACTGTCATTTACCATTTTGCATAAATACTAACAATGGCAGATTGTCACCTGCCAGTCACGCAATTTCAGAGATGCTTGTTTTGAGTCTTCAGGCCATTACAATCTGCCCTCTATCGAATTCACCTAGATCAGCAGCCTTTCCCATCACTCACAAAAGTAATGCAAGAATGATTCCTGACCTCATCCAGGAAGCAGTTAAATACCATTCCGTTTAATCACATGCTCTCCATGTCATCCAGACAATTTCACTAAAAACGTGGAGATGGTCATAATGTTTTAGCTACTCAGTGTATACATCAAATGTTGACATAAGGAAGCGAAATAAATGCAAGAAATTACTTTCTATGCTTTCTTTTCATTATTATACCACAAACAGCTATTATTTTTTTATTTAAATGTATTTTTCCATATAAATTCTCCTCCCACAGAACAAAATGACTGTTACTCTAAAATTTCAACTAGATAAATTCAATTAACATAAGAGTTACTCAGAATTTAGGATTTGAATTTGGGATATGCATGCTAGGCATTCACTACTATTTTGTTTTTAAGGTTTCATGTTTATTCAGGCAAAATCAGTGTATCCAGTTTCATATACTCATCTTTCACAGAAAAACGATTAAAAAGGCACAAAAAAATCCACAGTAACTTACTTTTTTATTGCAAGAATGCTTTCCACAGTCTCGTTTACGTTTGCATTTTATATCACATAAAAATTCTTTGCAGCAAGGTACAGACTTTTCTCGCTGTCCACATCTGCACAACATGACCCGCATTTGCAGGCACTACTAATAGCAATATGATTAAGATGCAGTAAAAGTAACTTAAAAGAATTATACAATGATTTTAAAATGAATTCATCATTAATTTTTCAAAGTAAATGACAGAAATAAGTACAATATGTTAATACAATACAAATAGAACATTTAAAATTTTTAAACACTATGACAATGTTAAAGAACAGTTTTTTCAGAAATAATTTGCTAGCCATTAAAACTGCAGCATCAAAGAGGAAGAGACATGAAAACAATATTATTGATGATGTAAATTATATGAATACAATGACTGTAAAAATAACTTGTGACTCGCAAACCAGTCTATATCTCATGAATCCATCTTAGGCAGCAACAAGCACTGCTACAAGATTCAACATAGAGGATTATATACTGGATGTGAGTTTGGGATACATCAATTCATGCCTTTTCAGTATGACGCCAAAGTTCTTTGGTAGCAACTGACAGTATCTGGTGCTCTTGTAATTAGGCAGTCAAAAACCTAATGTATTATACTGCTGATAAATTAAGATATGTGAAGGCAATAGTGGCTTATTCAGGTACTGTCTAATGTTATTACAAATGGTTGCATGCAATACGTAAACTATCCCAGGGACACTTTAAAAATCAGGCATTATTGCAATATTTCAAAAGCCATGACCATTAATTTTTCAAAGTGCTACTAATGCTGACAAAGGAGTGGCAACAGAGAATACTGTGGTTCTGAACCATAACAAAATGCACAAGATTTCTTTGGCACCACAACAATCATGTCACATTCGATATTTTCAGTACACATAGCAGTTGTAAGTTGTGTTGAGATTAAAGATTCTAAACATTATTCCTCTGGCCTGTCATCCAGTCAGATGTTAACATGTTGAGCACTATGTCAGCCATCTGTGGCTGACACTAGACTTTCTGTTTAGGCCGCGTCGACCACCGCTGGCTGACAGCATGTAACATGATAGATAACTATAAAATTTACACTGTTTTATGGAATTATAGAAAATTTATTTAAAATTTACTTAACTTTGATTCATTACAGGACTAATGGATTTCAATCAAACATGGTAAACATAAAAACGGTTCTCCATTACAGCTATTACAAAATGTGACAACTCTCTTAGTCTTTTTTCTGGCCATTACTCTACCAGTTTCTGTTGCATTTTTATCATAACATAATTTACAGTATTTCTGTACTTCAGAGGCTTTTCTTGGAGTTTATGTTGTTGTTTTTTAGATATTCTTGCATTTCTGCTCGATGGAATTCTTTTTCACAACTTGTAAGGGATAGCGCTAATTCTTTCTGGAATTCAGTAATGCTAATTTTTTGCTTGGTAATCTTTGTATGGAATGTAACTATTTGCAAAACAGACTTGGTGCATAACATGTTAAATGAATGCCTATAAGAATCGCATTCCAAACATAAACTATCTTCTACTGCTATAAAAATCACTGGTCCTACAATACCAGCACTTTTAATTGGCGCACGTGGCCCAAACAGGATTGCCTAAGAAATACATGTGGCGCTCAATATGTTAACAGGAAAAATCTATATCACTACCTCCTCAATACATTAAATTTTGATTTTCATTGTTCTACGAATATGAATTCAAGAATTCTTAAAACCTCCACTCAACTGCATTTTTTTTGTGACCATAATGCTTGTTTCATTTTACTGAGAAATTTCGGTACTGTTCTGTTATTGGGACTGGAGTCATCACTAAATGTTTTGCTAAACTCGCCAAGAGATTGGTTCATATGAAATCACCTATGTTTACATCTAAAGTCATTAAAATGTTAACTTTTTCAACAACAAGTAAAAAAAAAAAAAAAGGCTTTTCCAAACTGGCAGCAAAATTGCAGATTTCAAAGATATAATGGTCACTTGCATAATTATTATTGTATATACCATGGATTTGAAAATCTGGACTTGCCTAATGATAAAATAGCTTCCATATAATTTCTTAGGCAGGAATTATTCAGTCTAAAAAAAAACATGCATAAAGTGCATGAAAAACCATAAAATGATTCTTTCCCCCTCCCCTGGTTTCTTTGTCAAGTTATCAAATTTGCATTAAAAATTTCTAATTTTATGAATATATGCTATTTTTCCCTTGGGCTTTTCTTTAAGATAACCGTACTGTATTTTATTTAGCATAATTTAAATATTTCGGCGATTTTTTTATTCTTCAAATTTTTTGCCAGATCATCAGCTTTTGGCGATATCCGAATTCAGGCCCAATAAATAAACAATACTGAAATTTCTCTAATCCTCTTCACCTGAAAGGATGATGTCAGTTACTATACAATGAATTACAGCCAAACCTTCATATGAATGCAGAAATTTTTGCTTCAGAGGCTAAAGCAGCAAAACACTCACAGTGCACCTTCGGTTCTATCCTAAGCATTGAACAAGCTGTATGATAATTTTCTCATGTATACCCTAAGTACATGCAATGTCTCTTCAAAATTATCAGCCAAGCCATCTTTTTTTTATGCTAGACAGTAAAGTGAACTTTGCAGTAATTCAGTAATCAACTTTAACTCTCAAGTTTAAGGGTTGTAGCAAAAAAAAAGACATTTTTGCTTCAGTTATAGAGCTGGACAAAACCTATGAATGAGATGAAATCAGATCAAAACTGCTTGCTTCCTGAATTGAAGCAGTTCTTTATTGCACATCAATAGTAGCTTTAATGAATAAGATTAGGAATGGGAAATGTATCAAGAGCAATGCGAGACAATCAAGCAGAAAGAATCAAATGCACAGAATCAACCCAACAAAACTGTTAACTCCCTTGATGGATTTTTTCAATTGTAGTTTTGAGATTCCCTTAAGCTTTCCTATATAAAACTAATAATAAAATTCTGGAACCAAAAAAGTGTTCAAAAAGTTGGCAAATGATTAAAATTACACTCACTTTTAACATGGAAGGAGAAAGAAATGGATGGAATGATCTAAAATCCGGGACCTTAAAGCCACCAACAATTTTTTTTTTTTTTTTTTTTTTTTTTTTTTTTTTTTTTTCCTGAATTTTTTTTTTTTTACACATGCACAAGTGAATTTTTCCTCATAAGAAAACGTGAAGAATCCTGACTCATAATACACTTAGGCACTAAATAAAATACCTTGTTACTGAAGGAACAATCATTTTAGCATAAATTTGTGTAATCAATAATTTGGCCCCGTAGCTGTGTATTTGCTTAGCATACATCTCAAACCGAAACATTCTACATAGAAGGATAGTTTATTTTAAAGCTACTAATATTTTATATCCCTGACGACAACCAGGCGTATCATTATTTGCTATATTTTGCTTTCATCACCATATGTTTTATCAGCAAATGACAACTTGAGTAACGACTCATGTAACAATGCTTAAATAACTTTTTTTTTATTAGTAATAACAAAGAGTACGGAAACCTTTTATGTTCACATTACTGCTTGGAGATGACTGCAGATATAAGTTAAATGTGGTAAATGTTGGCAAGGAAAACTTTAACAAAAATTTGTTTCTGTAGGTTAAAAACAGATTTTGTTAATGCACTTATAAGGCCAAAATATTACATTTAGTGCAATTTGAATTACAAATAACTAGTTTAGTATTCACATAAACCCAGAATCGGCACCAGAGCTCATATGGCTCCACTCAGCAGCAGAATTTAGGGAAGACTAAATTTTTGGAATTTAGAGAAGCACCGAGTCACAAAATTAAGGGATGATCAAATATTCAGAGCACTAGGACACAAAATTAAGGGGTGGCAAAAATTTAGAACTTAGGGAGGTGCTTGATATCAGAATTTATGACCCGAAGAGACTGCATCAGGTGGCAAAATATCTAGCGCCGGCCCTCAGTGAGCTTAAATATATGTGGGAATTTATTTATTCAGAACCCAGATAAACCTTAAGCATGTGCAAGAATTAGACTAAGTATGATAAATAACTAAATGAATACAATTCAGGCTTAATTGTTTCAGTACACGGTAGAAGCAAGACAAAATTTAACAGAACATTTTGTGTTTTGTCATCCATCTCATGCTACATAGCCAATAATGTATAGCAGACGCTGTGAAGCTAGGCTACTTTACTGATTCCAAAGAATTTCAGTTAATATAGCAGATTGCGCTGTTCCTAAATTTTCTGATTTGCTCCAGCCTATGCAGGATGTTATAATTACAGAAAATGTATGAAAACTAAAGACTGAATTTTCGATTATGTTGAAAGAAAGAGTTTTTAATTCCGGACAGGATCTACAAAGTGAAAGCATGTTTCGATGTCCATTAAACAAAAAGAGAAATTCCTGCAAAAAATGGATATAGGTAAACCCTACCAAAATTATGAGAGGAGTATAGCATTGGAAAGTCAACTGTATATGACGAAACAGGAAAAGGGAAATTTATGAATATTTTGTGCATTCCGACACCTCCCTTGCAATGAATAACAGAAAAATTATTCGCTACACTAAAAGTGACAATCATGACAAACTGATGATTGAATGGGTCAGACAGCATTGCAGCGAGGGTGTACCATTGATAGGCCCAGGCTCAAGCCAAAATATTTCATGAAGAAATAAACTTAAAAACTGATTGCACATTTTCGACAAAGTGGTTAACCAAATTTTAAAATTGCTGCGGTATAATGCAATTAAAACTTTCAAGTGAAAAATCTTCAGTTGATACTGAAGCTGCTGAACTATTTGCAGGTGAATTCATTTAACACATTAATAGCGAAAAGCTATCTCCAGGACAAATTTACAATGGCAATGAAACTGGTCTTTTCTGGCAATATGTACCGCGAAATACCTTGGCAACCTCAACAGAAAATGCTCCAAATGGTGTCCAAGATTTCAAAGCTAGACTAACAATTTTAACCAGGGTTGCCACTCAAACAGGAGAATGAAATTCCCTGACTTTTCCAGGTTTTCCAGGTGTGTTTCAAGAAAATTCCAGTCTATCCGCGTAATGTACGTTGGCTGTGCTAAGAGTTAAATTAATTATGGTATTACTTGTAT